ATGTTTACCAACCATGATGAAATCCGATGCATTGCTTTGATTCAATCATAATGAAATATGATAAATTGCTATTTACGTTGATTCTTAAATTTAAGACGCAGGCCTTTAGACGGGGAAACAAAGCGAGGAGATATTAGCAAGGTGGGGGCTATCAGAAGTGACGTAATTAACTGCCAGGGGTTTTTATACCAGAGTAGGGGCGATTCTAGCGATGAGCTACGATTGGTTAGTTATTAATTTTAGTTACCTTTTTCAAGCAGCGTTACGTAATGTCGAAAGATCTCGAATTTGGGAGGACAGATGAATTTAGGGGGAGATCACCAAATCTAGAATGTTAATTTTGAAGTCGCCAAATAATTTTTAAAGCGGCTATTGTATTTTTTTATATCTTACATATATAGGGTATATATACATATATTAATTATTAATTTAAGAGTATATACTTAAATTAATAATTTAATAGTACTAGATTAAACCATCCCAAGAAGATTCGAAAATTGTAAAGAAATCCCTACATTTTTAAATAATGATACGATCTCTTACTATTTTAGACTATTAAAGACTATCCCTTACTATTTTAGAATTTTCTTATTTAAAGTGGATATAGTAGTCACATTAAAATTTCTTTATTATTAAATATATATATAATTAGTTAGTTAATAGTTATAAGCATATATATATAGCATAAAATATGCTTATAACTATTAACTATATATAATTAAAATACAAATGTCTAATGTGTAAAGAGATGAAAAAAGAAAATTTTCAGTATTCGTCAAGAGTTCTTCAAATGCTGTTGAAATCGAAAGGAGCTAGAATTTTCTGCTATTTGCACCGTCCATTAGCTTATCACGAATGCAGTCTAGTTAGATTTAACTGTCTCCATTTCAAAAGATGTATTTGCGGCAGTACAGGGATATGTTGTAATAAATATAAATAGATCATAAGAAAGATTCTTTAGAGATACTTCTAATTTTATATTTAATTTGGATCATGTATTTACAAACATTCTAAAATTGTACCTCTTAAGTGTTATCTACTGTGACTTTTAGAGGAAACAATAAAGCAACTCGTATCCTACTGATACGACCTTCAGCCACATCTAGTTCAAAAATTCTATCGTGGCCAAGAGACGATTTATAACACTTGGTTTACTGTTCCTATCAATCATTTAGCTCTTATCTCAATACATGTTTTCCCAGCTCTATGATAATTTTCTTAGAAACTCCGTCAGAAAGCAGATCAGGGCATTTTCTATACCCCAGCTTCCTCTAACAGCAACCCCGCTAGAGAAAAGCTTGTTCAAAGTTATGGCTGCCAGCACCACGCCAGCTTGGTAGCGAATGTAAACACTAGATTAGTATACACAAGACTCGTTAATATTATATTAACGAGTATTTATTATTTAACACATATAAATATTATGTGTCTCTGTTAAATATCCATAAGAAATTATTTCCATGTTTATCTAATGAAGCGAAAACTAGCATTCGAGAAAATGATTAGTTATAGATTAATTAATTATGGGCATTTTGCATGTCTTTTGTGTTGTTAGACATTAAATGTTTGGCCATTCCTAAATTTTCTAACTTAACGTATAAGTTTTTAAAAACAGATTTCGAAGTCGAGAACTCTAAACTAGAAGTACGAAAATAAAAACAAATCAAAATACTTAAAAATTGGATTTCTTAATGTTACAAAAGTTCTCCATTTAACTCTCATTGAAACAGAAGGAGAAGAGATGACTATCTTAATAAACAGCATCGTCATCTGGGATTCTTAACAGCTAGAAATCTAAAAAATCTTAGCTGCTTAAGTATATATTTACTAAGCACTCATTTTACCGCAATTGACAAAAAGAATGTAAGCTCATCCCTAGAGATCTCCAATGTCATGAACTATTCAACATTCTCTCACTTTGTTATATTAATTATGACTGCTGCTACATTACCTTAAATACACAAAAATTTACATCTTCTGATTAGAATGGTTTAATTAAACAAGAATTAGAAATGAAAATTTAAGCTAACGCTCCTTTGTGCTGAAAACTTTTAAAAACAGCATATCTAGAATCTCCGATAGACAGTGTTGCGTGCTGGAGATATCTTATTTAGTAGAGTGTTGTCACTGCTGGCTTTGAAATCTTTGAGTTTTTTAAACAAAAATTCGTTAAACGTTTACAAAATATGAAATAGATTAAAACAAATTCGAAATTCAAAGTTGGTGCCAATATTCAGATGGATAACTATGTTATTCAAAATTTTATGGCTCTAGCTACCATTTTTTACTTCCTTGTACGAAGTAAAAAGGAAGTATTGTAATTGCGAAAAGTTTCAGACAGCATATTTCAACGAAAATATCCATTTTGACCGCTATCGAATGCAATTTAACGATGTTTTTGCGTGATATCTGTACGTAAGAACAGAATAAAAGACTCATTTCCTCCAAAAAATTATAAAACTGCTTTAAAATTAATTTGAAGAGAATTTTTCGTGGCGTCTGTACGAACGTATCTCGCATAACTCAAAAACGAGTAGCCTCCGAACGTTGAAATTTTGTATATGGGACTGCTATAACATTTAGATGTGCATCTCGTTTTTTGGTTGCAATCCACCGAACCAAACGTATATAAATATAATTATATATATATCCACTCTGTTACCCGGCTCAGTGATCTCAGTTTCTTTACTCTTATATGTTTGTAAGTTCTACATTTTTTGCTTTAAAAATTATTGTAATTATGTTGTTCTTATCTTCTGGTTAAGGTTTTTATGACTTTCGTAAATCTGGAATCAATACTTGTACAATTATCAACAATTTTAAAAGCTGTCTAAGTGCCGCTAAGCCTTTTTTTTTATGGCGGACATTATGTGTTTACATTTGAAACAGCAGAATAGTAGATTTGTTGCCAATCTAGAGGAACTTAAGCTTCGCAACAACAAAGACAACGCATTCATTTATTATTGCCAATTAAATCGTGCTTAATTATTTCTGGAATTTTTTTCGAGGAAATAAGTGTTTAAGATTTACTTCGTAATTTTTAATATAGATATTTTGAGTTTTTATGTATTTTTGCCTTCTCGCGAAGTGAGAACTGAATTAATTAAATGAGAAATACTCAATCGTCTGTGAAAAAACTGTTTCTTTTTTTTTTGTTTGCTTAATTTCTTTTATACATCATTCTAGCTTTATTACAGTATTTGAATAGAACATGTGGCAACGATTAGATAGTTCTATTCTTTAAATGATATAAATTTTGTGCATTATGAGTTATAATATGAACGAAATATATAAGTTAACTTTTGTATAATTATTGGATTATATAACAGTTAACTTAGTTTCCGTTATATAATTATTATATAAGTTAACTGTTATATAATTATTAATACTGTTAAGTGAATCTAGCGCCAGAATGTCGTTATGGTAAACAAATACTAGAGTGAATTTTAAAGAATGCATTTATTATATCGTGGTTTATGCGCTGTCGGCGAAATAGATTTAATTCAATCCAATAAGTTTAAATGAAATGCAAGAAAAATTGCGTATAATTTAATATTCCGTACAAGGAAGTCATGTGGTGTACACATCACATTTTTTTTCCACAATACGAGAAACATGCATACTTTCGTGAAGATTTTTCATTGTTCATTTTCTTTAAGTATAACAGAGCCCAATAATATTTTGTGGCAACAATTTGAAAAGTAATTCAGCGCTTTTAGTGATTCGTAGCAAAACGTCTTTCCGAGACTAAGAGACCTTCTGGGCTCACGCTCCTTTGGGCTAAAACTGGAACGTATGTAAAGCTTATATTATTAAAAATTAACTAGCTTATTCTTTTACAAAGAGGTCTTCGTATTTGTCGAATTCTGAGAAAAGGTGTTAAGTTGGGGCTAAGTTATTTGATGAGAGCGTTTTCAATAAAATCACCAAATTTAATAAAAAGAAATATTTCGCGTATAGTTTATTGCAATAGCCACTGCTGAAAATTATATAAAAATAATTTCTTTATTAACATTGCATACTTAGAAATACTATGAACGACGAACACATTAACGTTCTTATCGCAATCCGCAACTGTATTATAATTTATTGAAAAACACTTAAAAGTATGACAAATACCATATTTTAGCGATGAAAAATTCATGTATTTTACTAAGCGATACCGCTAGAATAGAATTACTAGAATGTAACAGAAATGATAATCAGTATTCCTTTAAGTAAATTTTACCAGGTTAAAAAAAGGAAAGATATTAAATCACTAACTGATTAAGCATATAAAAAACGAGTAATGACTGTTCATGCGTGGTGCAGACTAAACTGACGGTCAATGTTGCAAATTAATTTTCTTTTCTGAAATCGAAGCGAAATTCACAGCAGCAAAAAATATTTTACTTCTTTTTGACTATATCGCGGATGTTGATTTCAGGGAATGATGTCGATTTTCCTTTCACAAGCGTTGTACTACCCAAGCTGGATAAGCTGTGTTTAAAATTCTGCCCTACTGACCCTAATGTTTCTCCATTTTTTTTTTTTTTTTTTTGTGTGTCTTTTTTTTTTTTCAATTCTTTTAATCCGAAATCTATGAGAGCCTAATCCCATTGGCTGAATCTGTGTCCCCTTTACCTACTCGGAAACAAGCAAATAAAAAATTTACGATAGAAATCCAATGTGACGTCACAAATACTGGTTGACGAATCCCAAACGAAACATTTTGCCCAATCCTATACCACATCCGGAAATGAACAAAAATGCATCGCGAAAAAATATCCAGTTCGTTCACCCATAGAGCATCTTCCCGGAAGGTGATTTCGGAACTCAATTCGAACGGTCCTTCCCCTCCCCTTCCCAACAACGGCAGAATTGTTGAATTTAACAAAATCAACTCCACCAATAATCGAGCATGTCCAACTACCGTAACGATGGTGCTGGACGGTGGACATGAAGCTTGGACTAAAGTAACTCTTGGCGATCACTAAGCCAACATGTTTTTCTTCATGTAGGTGTGACCACAAGATGGTTATAAGCCGGAAGATGGTGCCGTTGGTATCATTTTTGGCTGCCCTTCGCATTCTCACCGAAGGTAAGTCTTTTACTTTCTTCTAAGTATTTCTTATATGTAAGTTTTCTTTAATGATGATATTTTGTGTTGGAACAGTTTCCTAATGAGTCTCCTCTTCAGCAATCAGATCGCCTTAACTTCAAGGTCAGTTCATTACATAACTGATTGTGAAGGTCAGACCCAAAATATACAAGAATCTCTTTAACTGAAGATGTGAAAAACAATGATAGAGTTGTTCATAAAAACAATATGAAAATATTTAAAATTTTTTTTAAACGAAACCTGAAAAATTATCCGCTTTTTCAGCTTTGTAAAAGTACACGCATTTTCCTTTGTTCAATGATCGGCGCTTTCCAATCGTTTTATTTACATCTGAAAGTCTTTTATTTACATCTATTGTTTTATTGGAAAGGATATAAAAATGAATTATTAAATTTTTTTCCCAAAAATTAAAGTTAACGCATGGCAAAGTAATACTTTTTACTTTTTTTCTCGAATATTTAAAATTATAACTTTTTATGATTTAAATTTTTTGTTCAGTTACGCTGAGTTCATTGATGGCTATTTTAATATGATGTAAAACTATTCTTACTGTGTTATGTATGTCCCTATGTTTAATGAAATGCATATAACTACCAGTAGCAAAAAATTCCTGCATAATAGCTTTTTAAAAAAAGAATTTATTAAGTTGAAATCGCATATTTCAGTCCTCTTGGCTCATATTTTACCTTAAGCTACGAAAGTCAATGTTATATGTATTATCAAATTTGTTAGCTTAAATATTATGTTATTTTTATGTTTTATTATAATGATCATTCACATTACATGTTATTTTGTAAGTTTTTGAAAATGTGCTTTTATACATTTATTGACATTTATTGACTTTTATAAAAACATTTGCATGTGCTGCCTCCCCCCCCCCCAAAAAAAGAAAAGAGGCATCTCCTTGGTAGGATCTGAAATTTACTTAATCTTCGGAGCAAAAAAATTGTAGGACATCTGAAGATACTACATTTGAGATAAATTTCTATTTTATGTTTACTATCTTATTCTATAATTTATATTACTCATCTAATTTTCCAATGATTTAAAAATTATCTTGAAAAGTCATAGATTAAAAAATATAGAAAAAAAAATATTTTACGAAGTAACAGATGCTGCTCATTAAAACTATTGCACACGAGAAACTATTTTTTTATTTCATGTAACAGAAGCCCTAAAATTATAATGATTAGGGAAAGGAAATATTTTAAGTACTCTAGGAAAATCTAAAAAACGTAGTTAGCTTGAAATTAATTATATCATGATTAAATGATTAAACATTCAAGGTCATAAGATCCGTCAGTGGCTAGCAACTTCCTATTAAATGTTTCAATAGGTAATAGGCGAAACATCCCCTGGCGGGGATGCATGCTTGTAAACATTAAAGTAAGCAGTATTAACGATACCTAATCTCCTCCTGTGATACATTCCATTAGTAATTCCTCAGTTGGTGCTCGGTATCTGTGATATTTTGGGGTGCCTGAATCATCTGGTGGCCTACCGTATCCCATACATACCGATTGGCAAAAAGTTTGGTAATCTAGCTGGCTAAGGAAGAGTGTCAACAGTTCAGAGACTGTGAGAGATATGCATGCGAACCGTCTGAGATCTAGTATTATCCTGTTTAAAAATGCCTTCACTACGGCGTGCCATGCAGGGTAACGCAAACGTCCGCGGGACGTCATCAACTTATCGTTGATCTGTTAAAGTTGTATGCAGCATGAATAGAGCCAAATTGCTATCGGAAGAGACAGCACCCCACACTATGACGCCAGCGGTAATGGCTGTATGCTTCTACAAAACAAAGGCTGATTGGGACCAATGGTCCTGGTCCCTCTTCATTCGGACACAATAGTTATCTGCTCCAAAATTAAGGCGAGATTCATGGCTGAAAACTAGGTGATGCCATTCGGCTTGCGGCCATGATGATCACCTACGACGCCACTCCAGACAACTCTGTCGATGTTGTGGGTTAAAGGCAGACATCTTAAAGGCCGCTGTTATCTTAATCCTGCCTCAGCCAAGTACCGTGAGATGGCGAAAGGTTCCACGGGTAGTATGCAAGAGGCTGTAACACCTTAAATAATGAGCAATGATGCCGTAGGGTCAGTTCGGGGCTGTGACATAATCATCAGGTTTTGCCTTCCGTTCATGCACCTTCGCCTTCTACAGCCTTGATTCTGTAGATGAGTACCTTGCAAAACCAAATTGCAAGGTACTCATCTACAGAATCAAGCATAATAATGAGTACCTTGCAATTGCAAAACCAAATTGCAAGGTACTCATTATTATGCTGGAACTGTTACCAGCACCTTTGAACAGCCATGTGCATACGGTGCAAGTAGCGGCCTTTTGCTCGGAATGACTAGTCTGGTTCACGCATCCTTTCTATGCGATCATGTTCGAAGTCATCCAATTGTCTAAAATCTTCAACAATATCGTAACGGCATTATTGGTTGTATCTTCAGGGAACTGCAAAGCCAAAAACAAAAAACGGTAAACCCTCTACAATTGTTACTTATTTTATGCGCTGCCAGTTGCGCAGTGAAATCGCACGCTGTGAAGCGTTATTATTTTTTAAGGGTGCTTTTTTTTTTTTTTTTTTTTTTTTTTTTTTTGCAAAGGAGTGTAATTACAGGTATGATAGATGCATCTTATTAAATCCCCCTTTTCTCTTCTTCTTTGGCTATTATACCTTAACAAAATTCATATTCTCAAACTTGTAATGAAAAATCGGACGTAATTTTCTTTTTCAAAATTTTAAGCTCAGATGTTTGGATAATGCATCTCTGAAAGATATATCTTTGCATAAATGCATATATGTATCTCTGGAATATGCATTCCTAAGTATCATTAAGCCTTTATATAAGCTTTAAAGTTTGTGCATCTGGATTAGCCGGTGTCTCTAAGCTCCCGATCTTCTGGGAAGCATTTTTGTGTTTTAAACTGATAATTTACTATGTAAGTTATCAGTTTAAAATAAAAGTTGTGCAAGGAATTTTCCCCTTCCCCTGCAAAAAAATAGCAGTGAGACTGTACAAGTGGCACAAAACTAAAATTTGGTGAACGGTGATTCGTCTACTACCAGTATTTGGCGAATGGGGAAATCTCCACCCCAAGTTGCCTTTTACGTGGGAAAGAGTGTAAAGAATTTTCGCTTTTCTCATATCTAGTCTACGTAGTGCACGTTCGACATGCAATCGGAGGATTCAAAGCTCGATTTCCAGCAAGCACTTTACTGATTTTTAGTATTTCTTGCTCCAGAATGCCTAATAGACTCTATAAATGTTAAATACATTTTAAACCTTTCCATTATTTTTTTCACTTTGTTAAGATTTCACTCCTTAACTCAATTTCTTGAAACCTGCTGAGTGTTTCAAGAGAGTTATCACTCCGTGTGTGTGGAATTAAAAACTAAGTCAGAAGAAGATTTAAACAGCCTTTTTATTTAAAACTTTAAACTGAGCAAAGTCATGGCTTGTACTTACAATTTAAATTTCAGCAGTTTGCGGGATTTCAGATAACGCAAATGTGAACTTAAAATTAAAATTAATTGGATGCTGGAGATCTACAGTGCAAAAAAAACTTAACAAGCGTTGGCTTAAATTTAACTGAATGCGTAAATAAATTCAGTTAATAAAATGGCTGACGATTGTCGAAGAACTGGGAGAAAGAAATTGAAGTTTTATGATAGGAAATAATACTAGGTTTAGTGTCTCTGCCAAGACTCTTAATCTAAACTTTTAACAACTCAGATCTTTTCTCAGTTACAAATCTCATTCCATCCTTGTGAGAGTTAGCCAAGCGCGGGTTTTATAGTATAGTTCAATATAATATGCTGTTGAGTTAATTAGCACAAAATACTCTACAACTGCAATTTTATATTTATAATTGAGGATTTAAATTTCTCTCCTTTCTTCCATTATAGAGACGGAGCTTACATTCATAAGGGATTGTTCGTACTACAATTCTTCTCTCTCAGGCTGTAGAAACATTAGGATATTTTGGAAGCAGGAGATGTGAAAAATAAGCAACGCCCTAAGGTGTAGAAGCATACTAAGAAGGCGGTAAAATACCTTAAGTACTTCCGCCTTTTAAAGGGCGACTGAGGTTTAGGGGACCCAATCGCGAAATCATAGTAGTTCAGAATCGTTCTCCACCACCTTTTTTAGTTCACCGTAGAGATATTATGTTATTTAGAGGCAGGAGACATGAAAATAAACAATGCCCTCAGTCGGACTCGAACCTCGGACCTCTCGACTACGCGCCGAGCGTGCTGATCATTACACCACAAAAGCATGCTAAGAAGACGGGAGAAATACCTTATAAGGCGTCACTCTCTGAGGTCTAATGATTTTGACTTCCTGAAACAATATTGAAAGTCTTTTTCTCTTGATTCAGACTCAAGTCCAAATAATTTCAAATTCAGTACGCAAATTTTTCAATACAAAGATTACGTGCTACCATTTGAACTCAAATCGTTTCTTCTTATCTTTTGTACAGTAGGAATATCATATGCATTACCTTTTTTTAATATAAGCACTTTCGAAAAGTTTTTGATAAATTTCACTGGAAAGTAATATTTTCCATTTTTCATCTTATTCTGTTGCACACATTACGTCGCCATAACGTAAATTTAACATTCTAATTTACTAATATATTATTATATAAAATAAATAATTTATATGATTTCTTTGCAGCTTACAATTTAGCTATCTGTATGGATACCTTAACTAAAGAAACCCCCTTACATAAATCTTTAAAAATAGGAAATATTAATAAAAACAGCAGAAACGAAATAGTAGACAGTCATAAATTTACGTACTATTTCATTTCTCCTGTTTTGAGTTTTATTTCCTATTTTTAAAGATAAAATTAATATAAAAAACATCTTGATACCACAAGACAACCTTCAAATATTTCAGTTCAATATGTGTTGAGACCAATTTAGTTCAGACAGACCTGTTTCTTCATGGTTC